CAGTAAAATGAGCAAAATTTATGAAACCTGGTTCAAGGCCTTGAGATATATTCTTTCTGGTCTTCTTATGTAGAAAAAAAAATGCTAGCTGTAGAACTATTCAGTTCATTATTCAGTGCACCTAAGTTTAATTTCCTGAATGGAATAATTTCTACAGAGTACTAGTGTTTTCTGCTAAGTTCCAATATAAAGGACAAGAACATAGCAGTACCCCAGAATTGTTGTTATTGATGCAATTAATTTGATCTATATGCAGGTATTTAGTCATTTGCCTGTTCTTTCAACTCTGCAGTGTAGTAATATAACTGACTTGGGACACAGCAGTAGTATCACAGGACATCAGCTGGGCTACAGATCCACCTAAATTCAGTACTTGCTAAGGTCCTGGCTGCCTGGCTAGGCTGAGCTAGCTCACTTACCAACACTAAGACAGGTTCAACTAAATGAAGGGGGCCGGTTAGCTCAGTGGTTTGAGCACGAGGGGGCCGGTTAGCTCAGTGGTTTGAGCACGACGCTGACAACGACCAACACTGAGGTCGCTGGTTCAATTCCCGCTCGGTCCCCATGTGTTGCCTGGTCTAGTTGGGAGGAGAACCCATAACAGGGAGGTTGGACTAGATGATCTCTAAGGTCCCTTCCAGCCTATGCCATTCTATGAAGTGAGCTCAATCCATACCTCATGATTTATTTATGTCCTTGGTTAGACCTTAGCATGAAAGATGCAAAGCCTAATTAGCACAGTGAATTCCTATTGGTTTTGTAGTTTAAATTGCTTTCCTTTTGTTGGCTGAATAGTTATCATAATAAGCTGAGTTCTGATGCTGATTGTTTTTATAAAGCAAATACATTGCATATGAACAACTGGCAATCTCTTTGATTAGAGTAAGACAAAAGAATCATGATGCAGCTGAATCAACTAGATGCCCAGATAAAGGTTAGGAAATTCAATTAGGATGATAATGTTTTTGTATCTAAAGAATAAACCCATGCATGGAGGCCACCTTTGAACTGCACCTTTGGTAGGGCTGAATACATAGGGGAACTAGCGTGATCCAGTTAGGGAACGAAAAGTCCCTCTCCTGACCAACAGCAAGTTAAAATTTTGCCAGATCACCATTTCTACTCACTATACCCATTCCCAGTCTCTCATATTCTTACGCCTCTCCTTCTCAAATTAAGCATTTTCATCTGATCAAGTATCTAATATCAACAATCTAGTATTCTGAGTAACTTGTCTTTGACTTCATCGCCACCATTGTATCCAAGAACTTTTTTGTGATGTTTCATCTTGCTTCATAATTTGTCCAAGCTCATCCACAGACCAAGAATGTTCTCAATATGGTAGGTCACCTGCATCTAGCTACAAAATAGCATCTCTTCTCCCATACTTGTTTACTTGTCTTTAACTTCATCGCCACCATTTTTTGTGATGTTTCACCTTGCTTCATAATTTGTCCAAGCTCATCCACAGACCAAGAATGTTCTCAATATGGTAGGTCACCTGCATCTAGCTACAAAATAGCATCTCTTCTCCCATACTTGTTTATTTTCATTCATTTCTTCTCCTGAAATTGATGGTCACTTCAAAGACCTACATTAGTTTCCCAGTTTTTAATGCACCTTCCTATGCAGTGCCATTTCTTCCTTCTGACCATCTCTATTTTCCCCTATTTGTGTGAACTGTTTTATCCTTAAATGGGGTATCATCACATCACTCTCTTTTTATGTTTTAATCCAAAACCTTCTTCACTGTACCTACATTCTAATCTATGTCTATGATGGAAGGAGTTATTACTCTTGACAGATAGCCAGTGACGAATGGAAGCATGTAGGACTAAACATCACATTCTTTCCCCTATTAGTGTGGGTAAGAAGTACATTGAAGCTGGCTCACAGGTTTACAGGTCAGATATTATAATTGCTTTTACTTTTCCCTCCCATGTCTTGGTTCTCTGTTAACACTATTAAATATTAATGCCTATGTCTTTCAAATATTTCAAGAAGTGGCTGACCATATAAAGGACATTCTGTATTCATCATCTATTTTATCTGTAATTCTTATACAACCCTAACTCTAACCTTTTAACTTTATGCAGTGGATTCAATTCACCTTTGTGAGAACCCTGAGTTGGGTTCCAGTCTTCTGTGTCACAATCCAAACAGTGCTGGTCAGAAACAGAAAGAATTTAATATTTACCTCCCTAGATTTTTATAGACAGTTTCCACTGAGAAAATATGTAGAAAATAGATTTAAAACCATCATATTTAACTACTGCAAGCTTTAATTCTGAGAGAGAATGACAAACAGGGTGGAGAGTTATAATTCAGACAATGCTTGCCTCACATCTCAATGTCTTAACTTCTCCTAAAACATTTTAATTTAAAATGTCACAGCCTCGAGTGCTTTAGGAAATTAGTTACGGAACCTGAAGCAATACCAAAGCATTGATTTATGCAACAATTGGCAAGAAAACTTGCAAGCAAATATTTTATTATGGTCTATCCCCAACCTTGCCAATGTCATCATATTAAGAGCTTACATAAAATTATTTTTAAAAGAGAGTTCTTTCTAACATCCAAGCTGGTGAGCCTCACTCATCAAATGAGATGAGATGTATCACTTCTATTTCACTTGTGTTCAGGGAAGATGTTCAAGTAAATAAGTTTGAAATGCTCAGCAGCAGTCCTAAATTTAACCTAAAGAGGCTTTGTGTGAACTGTCTATATAGCAGCTCATCTTTTCTGCATGTACAATAAGAAGGATGAACTATGCCCTCAGAGGGGTTATCCTTCTATTTTTTACATAATGTACTCAGCTCTGTGGAAAAAAATACCACCTGGGGGAAGAAGATTAAATGTCCAATTAACAAAATTCTGATGATCTTTTCAGCTAGCTTAGTCTTACCTGTCGTGTTATTGGAAGAAGTGTTTGTTTTACTAAAGTAGTGTTAGGTTCCTTAGCATAGCCTAAAGAAAGAGGAAAAAAAGTCATGAGAAGACTCATGACTTTTAAATAGAGTATTCATATTGTCATCTGGCACTTTATTTATTTGCCTCTCTGCCAGATTTTTTTCCAACATCTGCAGAGAAAAAAATATTTCAGAATACCTTAAAAAATAAAAAATTGCAGTTTGGGCTGATGGTACATCTGGTTCAACATCATGCCTCTAGCAGTGTTCAGTAGAGACAATGTTGCAGGAACCACCTTGGTAAACAATGGGAAATGTTATTTCCCAAGTCTATCATCCAGGTTAATAATACATGTCCTTAGACAAGGGAGTTTATTTGCTTTGAGTCTTACAACTCCAAACAATTGTGTGTTGTAATTCAGGGTGTTCTTGCTATCATGTTTGCTGCATTTTGCACTCATAGACATGTCAGTCAAAGCTAGGACCAAACGCAGTTGTACCAAATGCTAAGCAAAATGCTACGAGCCTGCCGTTCCTACCCGGGTAAGCTTACAGTCTAAGTAGACTCACATGGATAACCTCATTAACTCAATTACATTTGTTCAGTTCCCCTTGCCTTTCACTGCTTTTGTTTTTCTACCACAGTACAGTGAAGAGGCATTTGATGGAAAAATATCAGTAGCCTTCAAGAAATTATCAACTCAAGAAAGATTCTTGGTGTGAAAAGGATAGACATCCTGGCTTGGTAAAACTAAATGGTCATTTCACGTGTATAGCACCACATTAGTACATTTAAAGGTGGGAAAGAAAAGAGCACTAAATCTGTCAGCACTTTTAAAGTAGAGAGGAATAAGCTACAGGCAGGCTCAGGATAGTACAGAGCAGATTTGTCACTGACATGAGATGAATAAGAGATGAAAACCTCGATCACAATGTAGTGTTGTAAGGAAGTTAAGGAAGATAAAGGAAGGATTGGAGAATAAAAAATGAAGACAGATGAAAGGATCAATCTTTTCTGTAATACATCATAAGCAAGCACTGCCTAAAACTCTTTGGTTCCTGAGTGGTTCAAGCGTGGGCACAGATATCAGCCTCATGTCTTCAGCTCATCCAAATATACCAGTTCTCAAGCTCTGAAAGAGAGAACACCTTTGCTGGCTCACAAATACCACAGTGCTGTACTTTTCTTGCTCTACTGTAGGAACACATAGTTACTCATGTTGACCTACTAAGCTTTATTTTCTATCCTTACTGTGGCCGTTGCTACTTTCATGGCAAGATGCTGTAGCCAAATCTGAGTATTCTGAAGTGATGGCAACTCTTGTCACCAGATCCATACTGACATTAAGCCCTAATCTAGATCAAGGTCTCATTGTGCACTGGGCACTCTGTAAGTGTAGCAGAAGACAAGGTTTGGAGTTGGGGGAGGTGGGAGTTGGTTGCTGTTTTGGGGTTTGTTTTTTTTTTTGTTTAGGTTTTATTTTTATTCAGGGCATTGAAAGATTACAGACAAAACAGAAATGATTAATATTAGAAAATACACTTATTTTCATCTTGTTGAAAAAAGTATCTTACATCAGTCTAAGAAACAAAAAAAAAGATAAAGATTTGACAGAATATATACAAACAATTCATCCAGCTTTTTTCTGTTCTGCTCCACTGAATTCACTCCCATTATGGACTATTCATGATGCTACTGTTTTTCTTCCAGCATCATGTCAATACCTGATCAGATACAAACAAGCTGCTTCTGCCCCTTCTAACTCAATACTAATCTAAAATATCTCGGGTGCCATAGCAAGGTTCTAAGCAGTTCAATGTTTCTGTGTGAAATTCTGTGTTATTGGCAGCCTGACTTTTCTCCCTCCGATGTGAAAATCCATCCACGTCCCAGAAAGGGAATCAGATAACTTGGTGCTAATCCACAGTTCCCAAGATTGTCCATACAGGCAGGGAGTAGTCAACTGAAAACAGCTGTCAATAAACATCTGTTTAGTGGTATATAGGATCTAAGATTTTTCTGAAAATAGAAGTCAAACAATTTCCTTTATAGATATATATTTTTTTATAGATATATTTTTAAATTCAACTCCTGTAGTTCTCAGCACAGTTACATTTCCTTAAACTGGCACCATAACAAATCATTTATTAATAAGGCTGCCAACTAAAGCCTTAACTGCATGGAAGATTTCAGAGAGATCATAAGGTAAAATCCACACAAGTTGTCTTTATTTATAAATATATATAT